CCCCCCGCGACCCTGAAAAGGATTTGCAGTATCACACAGCACTAGTTGTTGCAACAGCCTTGATTTTGAAGTAAATAGTCAACTACAGTTGTGCATTAAGGGAATATTAATATTTAGCTTAGACAATTTCTCCTGCAAGCACAACATCTGAAAGTTCCTAGTATACAATATCTTTTTAGTGAAAAGCCACTGTAAACTAATCCCCCAAAACAACCACTGCAAAAGTTCCTTTTTGTACTTGTTCACAGAAAAAGGGGACCAGGGTCCAACTGACAGGTAAGAAACAACTTCTCAATAAGACATTTTGATGAGTTCTGCTCGTTTAGCAAGCAGCAGTGAAGACGACATGATTTGAAGAAACAAAAGCAGACAGGACAAACCTCTCTCTACACAAACTTTTATATTCAGTCACTTTCAGCTTCAAAACTCATCTCTCTGAAGATGGACTCTGATATATCTTTATAAAGGTCTCACACTCACACGTGGGTAATCAGACATCCAGGCACTTAGCTGGAGTATCACAGCTCATCCTTTTCAAGACTACAACCTCCATCATCCTTCCTCATCATCACAGTCACGAGTAAAATCTAAGGGAGGTGGTCGCCAAGGAGACAGCATCCAGGATGCTTTGTTGGTCAGCAAAGGTGGTGAGAGCGAGTGTGTGAGTGTATGTGTGATGTCTGGTCTCCCGGGGCAACTAATGGAGCGGGCGAGAGCCAGGACCATTATGTAGAAGCAGTGAGAGCACTTGAGACCCTCCTCTCCATTTCTCTCCGTCTGTTTCTCTCTCTCCCTCTACTCCTCTTCCCATCCCTCCATCCAGACCGGGCCGGGATCACAAAGACACTTCAGAGGAAGCAATGAAAACAGGGCACAGACAGGGTAGGTCAGATGTATGAGAGGGATGGGGGCTCGCAGAGAGAGCGCACACGCATCTTTCCAAATCACAAAAAAACAAGGAGGCACTTTCGACCTCTTTCACAAACACACGCATATGAGCGCACACACACGAAAAGCAATTGTAGGAAATAAAGCCTGGGTCTTCCAAGTGCAGCCTCTCGACTCTTATAGCCTGACAGACAGCACAGATTGCTGTGGCTTTTCTCCATCCCCGTATTTCATCTGCCTGCTTTAAGTGCATCCTTGTTGATGTATTCCTTTTATTTATTTATTTATTTATTGGTGGTGATGGTAGTGGGGCGGATTGAGCATTATTAACAAACAATTTTCTTAGCCGGACAGCAAAAAACAAATAAATAAATTATTAAATCAACACATTTCTTCATTTTCTCATTGCATGTGCGTTTCCTGGAGCTTTCCCCACCTGAACATGCCAACAACCCACATTTTGGCACCACAGAGTTCACCAAGAACAAACCCAAACAAGTACCCAATAAAGATTTTGGGTACTTGTATGTTCTCTCAACCTCTCAAACAGACCCGAGGATATTTGGAACAATGTTGATTCAGTGACAGCGGCATCTCTTTCCAAGCCCAAAGGGGGAAATCAGCTTTGTACACAGGCTGAGTGCCACGGCCTTAGGAGGTGCTAAATGGGGACGGTGCTCTTCTTCCTAGCTGGATTTATCAAACACTTTCTTTCAAATTTAAGTGAAATGTTACAATTATGTTTCAGAAGCGATGTTCTGAAATTGTGCATCATATTCAAGCTTCTACCAACATCTTCTCTGGCTTTTCATTCCACTTACAAGTGCTTGAAACAGCTATTACCACATTTCATTTCTAACATGTCTGCTAGCAAACTAGTTTTGACTGAATGCTTCACACGGGCCTGCAAGATACCAG